TACTGCCTGCTGCTGTCACTTGGTAGTTCTGGTCCCAACCAGCCACACCTCCCACCTCATAGGGGCTGTGGTGCAGCTGCTGCCTCTCATACGGCTCTTTAGTCCCAGCCAGGCTGTGGCATACTGCCTGCTGTAGCTGGAACAAGGGCTGGTGAGGCTGCTCAAGCAGGAACAGCCTCACTGCGCCTCGGCACCAGCCAGAATAAATGGGGGAGAGAGACAGACCAGCCACATGTGCTACGGGGCCCCACCAGGCCACCGCTGTCGCCGCCACCAGCATTCACCTTTCTGTCCAGCAGGAAAGTGAGTGGTTATGAGTGCTGCTGTAGGGCTCTGCCAGGGAGTTGAGTGGGCCTAAAATTTTTTGTGCATGGGCATGCGTCTTAGAGGGAACTCTAAAGCCTGCTGTGTACAAGAAGCAAATGCAAACTAAAATGAGTAGTTGGAACGTATTCAGTAATTTTGTGTCACTTGGTACAGTAAAATTATTTGAAGTACAAACTAGGGATGTGAGTGAGTTGTTGACTAACTGATAAGCCTAGACTTACTGGTTAGTCGAGTTGACTACTGGTATTCTTCCCCCCCACACACACTCCGGCACACACTGACTCTGTATCAGAGGCAATAAGGGGAGGAGCAGGAGCCAGTGCTGCAGGGGGGAGCTGGATTATAAACTGGATACTCCCAGCACCATCTCTGTGGTGCTGCCTGTGCGCTCCCCTTCCCCCCCCTGCCCCCCGGTGCTGCCTCTATCAGAGGTAGCAGTGGGGGTGGCGAGGGGAAGCTGCTGCAAAGCAGCCTCTGCCTGCAATGGGCTGGGGCTTGCTGTGGGCAGAGGGTGCATTGGCAGTAGCCCTTGTCTGTGCAGGGGTCCCATGAGCTGTGGCCGGTCCAGGCTGCTGTGGATAGGGGTGGCTGTGGCTCTACAGTTTTAATGTAGTAGGAGCAGAGCAGCCTGCACTCTGGCTCTTAGCTTCATTTAAACTGCAGAGCTGCAGCAAGGGTAGCTCCTGGCAAGCTGAGATTGAGCACTTGGCTTAATGATTAATCATGTGGTCAATACAATTTCTTTTCACTACACGATTAGCGAATTATCTGCCTCTTAACATCCTTAATACAAATGGTTGAATGGTCTAATGTAGACAAGCCCTGATGGTGAAAGCAAAGTAATGGTCAAAATTTGGAATCGTATTGGTGAGAAGACAGTCTTCTTCACATTTAACTGCATAGAAATAATGTGTAGGGATTGCTATCAAATGGATGTCCCTGGACTTGGCCAAAAACTGATGTAAAAGATTAAGCTGTTAATTGGCGGTCGATAAACTTGAAATTTCAACACCTTAGCTCTTCTTTCCATCCAGAACAGCATTGGGAAATCTAGGCTAGTGAGTGCGCCACATGACTGGCTCTTATCTCAGTGGTCCGCAAGACTGTCGTAATTAATTTGGTATCCCAGGATAGGGTACATTTGCTAACTGCTTGCATACATACAATTTGCAAGGTGCGCTGACTGAACCATAGTAGTACTTTGATTTGGATGCAGAGGGAGCGCACGGTTCTCGTGGTCAGTGGTGTTTGTAGTGAGCACACACCTCACTACTGGTGCCTTTGCTTTTACACCGGTAGGAAAAAATAGCATGAATAAAAACTTGCAGAATCTGTCAACTTTCTATGTGAGCAATGGTCATGGTGGATAAAAATCTATTTTTTTAATCGGATTTTTGAATTACCAATAAAACACAAACACCTTAAACCATTACAATTCAATCACAAACATGTTATGCTTACACTTTCTCATAAAAATGAATTAATGGCTTAATAGGTTAAACCTCTTGGGTCTGGCAACATCTGTGGTCCAGCATGATTTTACTTAGCCAGATGTCCACTTAATATGGGTGAGGCCAAGTTCTATCAAGTTTTACAGCCACCAGTCCTTGCTCTTGGTGTTGTGCTGTATTTTAGCTGTAATGCCTTCCAGGAGCCCATAAGCAGTAACAGTGTTGGTAATGCTGCCAGAGGATATTGACCTTCCATAGTTCAGCAAATTCTCTGGTTTAACATCAGTCAGGTCCCCGGCGTGTAGTCTGTCCAACCTGACTACTAGCTCTTGCTGCTTTAAAGTTCTGGGCTTCCAGTTTGTTTCTCAGCAGACTAAAAAAGTAACCTGTGCAAAGAAAGACATAGGCTGGATAGGACTGTGTGTGTTGGACCTTGGCCAAGCATGGCAGATGAGTTAGTGAAGACATTCTTAAACACAGAGGGACAATATATAGGAAAGGACAGAGGCAGCATTGATAGGAACAGTAGGGTAGTCTGGAAATAAAAAGGGAAGACATTCAGTGTACACATAGCTTCCTATATTCCCCCCCACACTTTTGCTTCAGAAAAACTGTCATGGCTTCTGGGCATAAGAGACCTTGTTAAAAATATTTTGAAGTTCATTCCCTAGGTAAAAAAGGAAAACATGTCACATGTAAGCAGTGCAAGAAGATGATGCAAGAATGAAACAAAGGAAAACTGCTTATTGGGAGAAAATGATATAGATTATGTAAATCAACTGGTTACATTGCAAAGTGAATTTTAAGTTGTTCTTCAAGACTGTTTTCAAGTGTCAGTGATTTGACACATCAATTCCCAAGCTGTTCACTGTGTTGAATGTTGCTAGTGGGGGGGAGGGGGATAGTTTAGCTAATCCTAATGACTTGTTTTGGTAACTAGATTTAGTCTCATCACCCGAGTATATAATACCAAAAGTTGCATTTAGAGAAATCCAGAGTTGCCAGTTGCCACTGTCTTTTTTTTTTTTTAACTTTATATAACAATATAATACTTGCCTCTTAATTTGGAACAGCATGTCCACAGACTATAATGGTGATACCTCATGGAGTGTCTCCCACCTGCCACCCCAAACTGCCTCTCATACAGCAGCAGCGTGACATGGCAGGGGGCCCCTCAGGCCTTGTGTTGGGAGCCAGGAGAGCACTGGCTGGGAATGGGAGCATTTCAGTAAAACCATATAACAGAATTGTTGCGGCTGCATGATTACTAAAATTAATTATTTCTAATGTCCCTAGTCAGTCCGTATGAGCGCAGCAGTTTGCATAATGAACTTCGTAATGTCATACAAAATTCATGCGTTTGTAGAGCCTGATTCCCAAATAGTCAGACATACGTGTTTGTAACTATGAAGCATAAAAACTTTTTCTCTAGTAAAATGTTTGAGGAAAAGGCATGGATTAAATGCCACACTTTCTAGGGGGAAAATTACTATTTGCCACTGTTGAATGAATGGCTTTTTCAACCCCTGTATTTATTGTGACCCGTTGTAAAACAGATATTTAAAAGTTAAATACGATGTGTGTTCTTTATTTTAGAATGGCCAGAGTTTTCTTGTGTTGGATGAGCAAAGGTTTGCAAAAGAGATTCTTCCTAAGTACTTCAAACACAACAACATGGCAAGCTTTGTGAGACAGCTAAATATGTGTAAGTTTTTTAGCCTGGTTTTTAACAAAGATTGCTGTCTAAGAATATCATAGAACTTTTCCCCATCTATCCATTAAAAATGGGAGGAGGTTGCAGCAATAAAGTTCTGAATTTGGTAGTGCTTTTTTTTCCTTCATGATTAAATGTTTTTTTCAGATGGCTTCCGTAAAGTAGTCCATGTTGACTCAGGCATTGTCAAATTAGAACGGGATGGTCCTGTGGAATTCCAGCACCCATACTTTAAGCAGGGCCGTGATGATTTATTGGAGCACATTAAAAGAAAGGTGAGTGAAAGGTCATAGGGTATGTCTACACTACCCTCCTAGTTCGAACTAGGAGGGTAATGTATGCATACCGCACTTGCTAATGAAGCCCGGGATTTGAATTTCCCGGGCTTCATTAGCATAAGCGGAGAGCCGCCATTTTTAAATCCCCGCTGCTTCGAACCCCGTGTAGCGCGGCTACACGGGGCTCGAACTAGGTAGTTCGGACTAGGGTGCCTATTCCGAACTACCGGTACACCTCGTTTCACGAGGAGTACCGGTAG